CCCTTAAGCATGGAGGACCAGGTGATGGCCTCCCCTCCCCCACACAAGGTCAAACAATGCCTAACTACAACCCTAACAAAGTTGTGACGATTGCTACGAGGTAGGTGAAAACCAAGTGGCCAGTGCCAATTTGCCAAGTGGAAAAATTCCTACCAGGCCCCTCGGACAACCAAGGCGACCAACCGAAGTCCATAGCAAGGCCATTGCCTAACCTGCAAAATAGGGAGAGAGGGTAGGTGGGTGATTGAGGAAGCAAGCCAAAGAGGAAGTCCTCTGGCTCGCTCCTCAGTTTAAACGGCCCCGGCCACGCCCCCGGCCAGCGGATTGGCTGGCTGGGCTCTGATGTGGCCGGGATCCCCCAGGCAACGGGGGGCAAAGTCCCCCGCCCCTGGTGGGGAGTGGGTGGCCACGTGGTCCACCGCAACTCCTCCCCACTGGGAAGTGAAGCGGATTTGCTTAGGATCCAGGACAAAGTGCCGCCTTTCGGAAATTCCCCCTGGACATCAATTCCGCCACTGAAATCCTGATAATGTCTGGAAAAATCCGGACATGTGGCAGTCCTAGAAAGTTGGGGTGTTCTTTCTAGGGCACATTCTCAGCTCAGACAAGGCTGCAAAGAAGCCGCAGACAAGGCTTTTAAGGAAAATTGATGTGAAGGAGTATAACAACAATAATGATAATGAGAGATAGAATGATTGAAAAGCCCTATTCTAGACATGTGTGCCAAGTTGTACAATTACAACATTACATACTTAGAATAACTAGAAAATTGTGGTGGTGGTTTCAACTTGTTCATTGTGATATTCACACAAGAATGCAACTGAGTCAAAATTGACTCATGTAATTAGTTGTGTGTTTTGAGCTTCTTCTTCATCACCATCATCATCATTAAGAGTAGATCTATGCTTTTTTTTGATACCATACTATTATACTTCAATTTCTATTTCTATTCAATTATTATTTCTTTGCTACTTCTAACAGTCATAAAATAGGATGGTGATTTCACATCTGTTTTACTATTACATTGAGCTTTGTGAAAAGTACCAGGTTTAAGATCTCTTGTTGTCCCATTAAGGACATCCTTTTTTAAAAAAAAGTCTTGAAATTACTTTGACCTTTTTAGTTATTCATTCATTTAGTAAATTGAATAAGAAGCCCACTTTTTAGGAGAAGATTCCTCACAAAGCAATGTAGAAAATACAAGATTGAAGCTGCAGTCCCAACCCCCTCTGCATAGGGCATAGGTGTGTGTGTTCGATTGGACAGAGGTGCCCCTAGCCTCTGCCAACCACTGCCCACATATTGATAGCAGTGCCACTCCACTGGAACAGAGCTCCTTGCTTCACCCATCAAACAGGCAGGCGGAAGTACTATTGGTGGGATTTCCCTCTTACACACACACACCAGCAGAAGCTCATAGAAACCCCCCAGATGGGTGCATTAGGCCTTGTTTGGGCTCAATCACTATACCAGCTTCAGGCTGGAGCTTGGATGGCAGTGTAAGCAACAACTGAAACAATGCAAAAATACAACACTAGAATTTTAAAAGATTCTAAAATATATTTTAAAATCTTTAAAATAGTCCATGCAAGACAACAAATATTGCAGCATAAAGCTGACCATGCTACAAACAGATCAAATAGAAACACCCCTTTTGCATTCTTAGGGATTATAGTGATTAGGGTATAATCTGGATTTTAATTTCTACATTAATATATTTTGTATGATTTTTATTAGGAATCCACCAAATGTTTTCCCATTTTAATTTGAGGGCAAAAATATATCTACCCCTCACCAAATCTGCTTACTGTTCTTTATTTCCCTTTTGTCATACAGTGGTACCTCGGGTTACATACGCTTCAGGTTACATATGCTTCAGGTTACACACTCCACGAAGCCAGAAATAGTGCTTCAGGTTAAGAACTTTGCTTCAGGATGAGAACAGAAATCGTGCTCCGGCGGCGTGGCAGCAGCAGGAGGCCCCATTAGCTAAAGTGGTGCTTCAGGTTAAGAAAAGTTTCAGGTTAAGTACGGACCTCCGGAACAAATTAAGTACTTAACCCGAGGTACCACTGTATTGCTGTTTTGTTCCGAGCTTCTTTCTGAGAGTGATTTGAGAGTGATTTCAACAAACCAGAGATCCCACTGTGAACACAATGAACATAGAACCTTAGAATCATAGAGTTGGAAGGGACCCCCAAGGGTCATCTAGTCCAACCCCCTGCAATGAAGGAATCTCAGCTAAAGCATCCATGGCACATGGCCACGCAACCTCTGTTTACAAACCTCCATGGACGTAGAGTTCCCAAGTTCATGAGGGTGTCACAGAGCTGCATAGCCAGTCAAATTTTGCTATGTGGTGGCATTTCTTGGGGCTTAACACATTTCAAGTAAAGAAACTCTTCTTTCAGCAACTAAACTAGTTTCCCTAGAGCAGGAATGGGGAGCTGGTGGCCCTCCAGATCAGCCTCAGCCAACATGACCAATGATCAGAGATGATGGGAGATGTAGTCTAGCAACATCTAAAGGAATAAACTATTATAAACTAATTGGAAAGGAAAGGTAATAACATACTTTAATGGTAGCACTGTAATGTTTAATCAATTAATTAAACAGATTTATTTTAAAATCTTTTTGTAAACCAAAAATGTATCCCAATTACTGTAACCGAGCAGCAGCTTTTCTGAAAACGTTTTTATTTTGGAATTTTTCATTTTATATAACAAGTAAGAAAAAGTATAATTAACAGGACCTAAGTATTATTGAGCAGTCACTGCCTCGTTATTAATTAAGCTTCTCACTTTAGTTTTTTGTTAAGCTTTATAATTAATAAATTTATTTAATCATTTGACAATTGTTAACATTCATCAACAAAACAGCTCCAGAAAAAATACTTCAGATCATAATATTCTGCAAGAATATAAGACTTGTCATAAAGTTGCAGTGTTTCTTCTAAAAAAATTTAAAACCTATTTGAATTTGCTTTTGCGAAAGGTCATTTTCATGACAGAATTGTAAAATAGAGCAACCAGTTTTCTCATAATTTATTTCAATATTCACTTGCAGTTCTCACTCTTAGATGTTATTTTTGCTATTATAGCCAAATCCCAAACTGTATTAAGCTATTATTTCCGATAAGGGAGTAATGTAACTTTCCAATTTTGAGCCATTAACATTATTGCAGCTGTTAACAGCTGTTATGTTCTTTCTTTATGATAGGTGGCATATTGTTCAGCAATAACAATAATGGATCTAAGGGAACTTTATGTCTCAGTATATTTGTTATTATTCTAATAACCATCTTCTAGTCTTTTTGTGCATAATCACATGTCTACCAAATAAGGTAATATGTTCCATTCTGCTTATTGCACCTACCACATATTTTTGAATAAGATTTATTGCTCTAATAATTGCAGTTATGTTGGTTTATCTATATGAGAGTGTATGCAATGTTAACCAAGAGTTTAATCAATTACTTGACTAACCCTATACTGTACATGTCTAATCAGAAGCAAGTCCCATTTAGATCAGTGGGACTTGCTGTGATTCAGCTGCAACTTAAAGCTCCTAGGACTGTGCCCTGCAACCCTGGCACTAACGACAAAACTTTATTTGGCAGAAGCTAAACGCAGAACTATGATGCCATGTTGAGATCATTTGAATCAGAGCTAACACACTTCCATGACCCAAGTGTTTTCTTATTTTACTTTTTTAACCTAACATTGACAGAAAGCCAGAATTCATTTTCAGTGGATTGCCACGAATGTGACAAGAACATTTGACATAGTAATCTTGGGCTTGTTTTCAATCTGAAGTAAAACGCAAAAAGCAGAAGTGGAAGAACAAGAGTACCAAGGGGTTAAACGGCAGCAATGAGGAGTGGGAAGAAGAGAGAGGAGCCACAGAGCCCAGAGCAGAGAAAACCATCTTCAATGTGTTTCCTCTGTTATTGAAGGGCACTTCAGAGTCCGTCTCCCCGCAACTATTATTCTTAATGCCTTCCTCAGCACATTTGAGGTGCTGATTCACTTCTCACTTCCTCATCCTTGTATTATAAATATGAACAGCGGTCAAAAGAACTTGCTGACGCTGCAAAAAAGGCAATTGGCTTCAGCCACACTAAAAGCCTGAAGATGCTCCGTTCTTTCTTTCACCTCCCATCTCATTCAGCCTGAGGAAGAAGCCAATTTGGATCCTTAATAAGAAAGCTGGCATCTGGGGCTGGGATGGCCAGGTGGAAAAGAAGACAGGCCTCCTGCACCTTTCACTCTCCCTTCGGCACAACTATTAAAAGTACAGGAGCTCTGCCCACCCCAATGTACAGTGGAACCTTGAGTTGCGGATGTAATATGTCTAAGAGGCACGTCCGCAACTTGGAAGCATTTGCATCCAGAAGCGCTGAGGCTGCGCATGTGCGCAGCGTGATTTAGCGCTTCTGCGCAAGCGGCGAAACCTGGAAGTAACCATTCCGGTACTTCCCGGTTGCCGTGGGACGCAACTTGAAAAGACGTAACCTGAAGTGGATGCAACATGAGGTATGACTAGATCCAAATGTCAGGTCCATTGTAAAAAAAAATAAAAAATCAGCACACAGAAGCCCCTGTAGACAAAACGCCTGCCTTTCAGTCATTTGGAATTAAAACCTGTGATTCGCAAGGCAACTGCGGCAACACAATAAGCCGACACCATTGATTAATCTATAATAAAATAAATAATAATTTTTTATTTATTCCCCGCCCTTCCCAGTTCAGAAAACCGGGCTAAGGGCGGCTAACAAATTTTAAACACTTAATTGATGCAACCAAAAACAGCATAAAAATACAGTATAAAACGTGAATAACAATAAATTCAAACTCTAGGAGTGCTTCATATCTTTCTGTTTCTATCTTGCCACAATCCATGCAATGACTACACAGCTCATGCCAGATGATGAGTGCATATGCCTGGCCCATTCAGGAAGAGCTGCTAGGAGAATACAGAGGATTGTGTTTGCACACCATATGGCTGTTTTTCAGAGTACCAGAGCCTTATCTGGGCTGCAGTCTGGCAAGGCAAAGAAGTCACAGGGCTCACCGTCGGCTTCATTTATTTTACTCATTTCAGAACTAATCGGTGCAAGTTGTTTGGTTGTAAGTCGCTTAGGGTTGCCTTGGGTAAGATAAAGCGACTAACAAATTTAATAAATAATAAAAAGATTTGCCAATGGTACCTGAAGATACATAGGCTGCTCACTCTCTCTCTTCTTTCTAGGTTCAGCCTCTCCTACCATCAGCCCTAATCTCCCCACTGTGATTGTGGACAAGGGAGACCCGGTAAGCTTGCACTGCTCCGGGAATTCTAGTGTGGAGTGGGTCGGCATAAAGAATGAGTCTAACATCGTGGTGTACACCAATGGCACCCTCTACATACCCAAGGCCAGTTACAAGGAAAAGAAAAACTACCTGTGTGCTTATGTTAACCATACCAGTGAGGAAACAGCATCTGTATCTCTCTGTGTGAAAGGTAACCAGACTTTTCTATTTTACTTCATTCAGTTTCACTTTCTGTTCCCACTCTATGCTTCCAAAATATCAAACAAGGGCTATGCACCTAGGGAAACCCTTTGGGGGCACTGACTCCATGCAGCTAACAATGGTTTGAAAAGGAAGAGTGGGGCACTTTCTCCTAGAAACCTCCCTCTGTCCCCAACCCTGTGCAGCCAGCTTGCTGTACAGGCATAGTCTCTCCTCCTGATTTGAAACTGTATCTATACAGCAGGTTCCCCTCTATAGATTGTTTCCCTCAATGCATGGATGTCTGCTGGTTACCATGACGAATGGATGGTAGAGGAGCATAGAAGGCCTGAACTTGTGGGTGGGAGCCAACTCTCTCCATCTGTATGTTGGTTAATATTGTGGATTGACTGCATGTGTTGGGGAGGGGCAGTATGTCTGGTGGGGGACACGACGTGCTCCTTCTGGGTAATTAATCCATCTTTGGCCCCCCTGCACTCAGCTCACACCTGTGGCTCCTAGACACCTGTGACAGTGGCCACACCTCAGGAATGGCTTCATCTGGCTGGCTAAAGCAGGTGAGGGTAGCTGATGGGTCTCAGTGAGTTAGGGACTTCCCCTGCACATGAAGACAGACCAATAAGTGAGTCCAACAGTCAAGAAGGCAGTTTCTGCATTGCTGTAGTGGGACGTGAGGGCCAGATGGGGCTCATCAACCTAGAAATAATGAAAACTCTGATCCTAAACCTCCCCTACCTTGTGACCACACTCACTTTGGAGTGAGAATGGGTTTGGGAGCAAACCCCCAAGGAAAATTCTGTACCTGCTGCTTTGTGGGACATCATTAGGAGAAGAAACAGAGTAAACCCTACACAAATCCAGAGTGGAGTCCTTAAGGTGGTTGGATGGCATTTTGTATGCCTCCTTCTGGCAGCTCCTGCTGCCAAGCTGGTGCCAAATGTATTGCTTTGCTTTCCTTTGGACCACATCCATAAGGCCCAGAGGAAGGATCTTATTGTCTGGGCAGCCCAGGACCTCCAGACACACTGCCCAGGCTTGCGCCCCAGAGAAGGGAGGTTGTACAATGAATGTGTGTGAAATGGTGCCATTCTTACTTCCAATTTTCAACCCATTGGCTCAGCTATAAATATACATGAACATTGCTATGTGGGTATATAGCGGAGGATACCTAAACTCAGTTAGGGTCATTTCCCCAGATAATTTGGTGTGAGGGAGCCTAGGTAGTTGCCATTGCTTCCAGTTGCTTCTAATGTATTCCAAGTTGCCACACGCACATCTGCTAAATGCTGGCCTCAGCTTCACAATTGATTTCTCACCCTTCTCTTCACCTCCCTCCACAGATCACAGCTCAGCCTGGTGTGTCCTTAAAACCTTCATTAGGGTGACAGAAGGTGAGGATGTGGTGCTGCCGTGCTTGATCGCTAACCCAGAATTGGCAAGCAATGTTACCCTGTGGACGGACTCGCGCAACATCTCCTCTGGATTCTCTTTCAACGCTCAAGAGGGAATACGTATGCACAGAGTAAACATGAGTGATAAAAACTTCTATAAGTGCCGTGCCCTGGTTCAAGGACGGTGGGTGGATTCAGCAAAAATAGGCCTTATTGTTGAAGGTAGGTTTGCAGTTGCTCTTTCTACAGTGGCGCCACAACAACAGCAGTGGTGGGGATCAGGGTGGGGTGTGGTATTTCTAAGTTGCTGGTGTAGTTATTCTGATAGCACAGTGCTAAAGGTAAAGGTAAAGGGACCCCTGACCATTAGGTCCAGTCGTGACTGACTCTGGGGTTGCGGCGCTCATCTCGCTTTATTGGCCAAGGGAGCCGGCGTACAGCTTCCGGGTCATGTGGCCAGCATGACTAAGCAGCTTCTGGCGAACCAGAGCAGCACACGGAAATGCCATTTACCTTCCCGCCGGAGCGGTACCTATTTATCTACTTGCACTTTGATGTGCTTCTGAACTGCTAGGTTGGCAGGAGCAGGGACCGAGCAACGGGAGCTCACCCAGTTGCGGGGATTCAAACCACTGACCTTCTGATCGGCAAGTCCTAGGCTCTGTGGTTTAACCCACAGCACCACCCGTGTCCCAGCACAGTGCTAGAAGAGTGCTAAAGGTCACCTCTTGTTTCCTCTCACAACAGCTTTGGGTGAGGCTAAACTAGGGAGACTTCAAGGGGACGATGCAACTTTCATGTCTGAGCAAGGATTTTAACATCAATCCCTTCTTGCATCCAGACTCCACATCCTTTTCTTGCTGCATTGCACTGGACCCGTGCTAAAGATGGGAGAAAAAATTGGCTCAGTTCACATTTTAATACGAAATTAGCTAATTTGCATTGTTTGGAACAATGTATGAACCAAAACTTAGCTATCCATCAAAATTGGCACTTTTGCAAACACTGACTAGTGTGTCTGAGCATGCAGCTTTGTTCAACACACAATAAATGCAACAAATTATAAATAGCAATGGTGGCAAACCAACTCCTAGCCAGCAGTGGCAGAACTTCATAGAACAGCATAGCTGCTGCCACATCCGCACCCACTCTGCTTATGCCAGCTGAAGTCGAAGGACACTGCATTTTTGCTTTGCCAGCTCTTAGGCAACAGGGCTGACTTTGAATTCATGGTTTAAAAAAGTGGGTCACACAGTCAAAAAATGATGGCACAAGCTGAAGAAATCTTGACAGATCTGAAAATGCTGCTTGTTACTTCACTTAGTCTGTAGCTAATCGGCATACTTCTTTTCTTTTCTGCTTTATTTAGCAAGCACCTTATCTGTCACAATTAAAACGAAAGATCATGTGAGACTACGAGGAGAAGCTTTCAATATCACCTGCAGAATAAGTTCCCGCTCCTATTCCTATGAGGCAAAGTGGACCTATCCTTCCACTGCAAATGTAAGTCATTTTTAAAAGGTATTTAGTCAGAACTGTCTGATATGGCTGAAACAGCAAAGACCTGGGATAACAGAGAGATTTGGTGGCATGGGCTAATTGATGCACGACTTTAAACTGGATGTCATATGTAGCCCTGCTGATCTGGTCTTTGCTGAGCATGAACCTTAGAGTTTTATGGAACTGAACTCACAGTTGAGTCTGTGGAGTGGTGAAGGCTTTCTTGAAGGATGGAGTAGGGTTAGCCATGCTAAATGAGGTGGTGGTACACCTTCTACTCAAAAAGCTCTCCCTAGACACAAGTGTATGGTCATTATTGCCTAGTTATGAATATTCCCTTTCGTGGTGATTAGGTTCCGGTGCACCTGGAAGAAGCTAGTTATCTAAACCAGAGCTTTCCAAGCTGCGTGTCCTGACACATTAGAGTGTCAGCTGCAGTGTGTTGCACGAACACTCCCCACACTCCTCCCAGGGCTGGAAAGGGAGCGGGCAGCCCGCCGGTTTGCTAATAAGACTGAATTACTGTGTCACAAAATGATGCATGTCTATAAAGTGTGTCACCAACATGAAAAGTTTGGCAAGCTCTGATCTAGATCATTTTCAGGCTAGATTCAGACTTAGTCTTTGCACCAAAGTTGCTTTGGCTGCCCTGATTGATCAAGTGCATTGGGAGAAGGGTGTGTGTGTGTGTGTGTGTGTGTGTGTGTGTGCACGTGCGCGCATGTGTGCAATCCTGCTCTACCTCCTTGCTCTCTCAGTAGATGTTGATACCATCAAAACATGCTATCCTCCTGCTAGACCAGCTCTCGGGGTTGGAAGTTGGGGCACAGTATTGCTGTGGTTGTGTTCCTACCTACAAGGCCGAGACAGAAGGAATAGGAAATTTCTGCTCAGCCCCTTGGCAGTTGTGCTGTGGGGTCCTGCAGGGATCCATTCCCCCACCCCCCGTAATATTTAACAACTGTATGAAACTTTTGGTGTCAGCCATTTGGGGAAGTTGAATTTGCTTGTGCACTTATTTAGGTGAATACTGCTCATAGTTTCATATGCCATTGCCATTCTCTAGGAGCAGTCATAAGCACAAATAAATACCCTACTGTGTATATTTACTTTATGATTTAGGTCTAATCCTTTGGGTGATGATGGAGCAACACTGGGTCTAGGATGGGCACTAATGAAATGGGATAAATTAAAGTGAGGATGGTGACAACTAAAACAATGACTTGTCTGCAAAATGTGCCATCATTTCTAACTTTCCTGGCTTACAGGTCAACTTGTTTCCAATGGAAGATTATAATGTGACCTCTAGAAAATACTTCACAGACCATACCCTGTCCATTCCAGCAGTACGGTTAGAAGACACTGGGGAATATACTTGCTTGGGAACCAATTCCGCAGGAACTAGTAATTCTTCAGCCACCCTCCAGGTGATAGGTGAGCAAGTCTTGATGTACACAGCCTGGGAAAATGAGCCTTAGGGTTCTGCTTTTCCCCACTGAGGTTTCACTGGGAATCAAACGGGGATCCCAATTTAGTAATGGAGCTATCATCCTTCACTTAACACAATGAAAGCAGCAATGCATTAAAAGAATTTCATAGAATGTTTCTCAGGGCCTTGAGAAAGTCTTACATCTATTTGATGTCCTAGTCTCTTGATGAAGGAGATGAAGTACAAGGGCAGAAATTATTACGTTTTTCAGGATGCACAATGTTATAAGGAGAAGAAATAAGTTTGTTAATGAATTCAGAGAGACACACAATGGTAGAATCACAACCTCCCCCGCCCCTTTTATTTACAATTTCTATTTTCCTTTTAAAATCCTGGTTAATTAATCAATATAACTACTTGTAGCATTTTTCCAGACTAAATGTAGTACATTCTCTGCATCCCCTAAAAACTCATTGTGATCATTCTAAGTTACCCAAGTTTTTGTAAGCAGATTTTAAAAAATTAGACTGCAAAACAGCCGATTTTTCCAAGTCTCATATTTCCATTCATTGTTAATCACAGCTTCCCCTTCTATGGTACTTCAGCTGCAACCTAATTCTCTGTATTTTTACTCCATGGATTCTATATTTTCTGCTCCTACCAATTTGTTCCCAGCAGCACTCAAGACATCCGTGATGGATCACACTTATTCACTCATTTGCCACCAACTTTTAAAGTTACTGATATGCCCCACAATAGATCAAATGCTGCAAAGCTTGTTCATATCTAATGGGCCCAGTTCTCAACATCATTCACAACCCAGCAGCCCAACAATACAGCTCACCCAGTTTTAATACGAAAACAAACTTCAGTCAAGGGAGGTGTGTGTTGACCCTTCCCTTTATCTGAGCAAAGGTTTCTGATTCCTGCATTGCAGGTGGTTGGACTAGATGACCCTCTGTTTCCCTTCCAGCTCTGCAATTCTATGACTTTATGATCATTGCACACTTGGTCTGGTGATAATGCACACATTTAAATGAGTGCCTAGGCTGGGCTTTGTTTCAGGAAGCATTTAAGAAAGGAGCATTTGGGTTAACATGAGAACAATGGATTCAATACAATGGATTCAATACATAACCCAACATATGTCCCCAAGTTCACTGCTCCCCATCAGATTTCCAGGTGAAACACCACCACAATTTCCTACAGAGAATAACTCTGTCCTTTTGATGTCCTTTTGATGTCAATATAGCAGGCTTAATTCACCCATCTCGAGCTCTCATCCAGGCAGAAGACAAAAGGATGAATCATCTTCTTGCCTTTCTGGTCCATCATTTATGCCTTCCTGGACCATCTTCACTTCCACTGAGACCCATACCCGAATATCACAGGTTATATGTGGCCTGGGGAGAAGCATGGCTTAGGGAGAGTCCCAGACAAGGAAGCCTGTAAGACCACATTTAGCCCATGGGCCTACGCTTCTCCATCCCTGCATTAAGTAATTTGCTTATGGCATTGGAAGGCTTCTGCCTTGCTATGTGGAGGTCCAATTACTGTGATTATTCAAGTTGCCAAATTCCAAGTGGGTATCACAAGGGAAAAACCACACTGATCCTAGTTGTGTCCCAACCTTTTCTCCTAGGAGAAAGGTTTAAAAAACAAATCAAAAGAAGAATTCCTCTGTGCAACATCTTCATTCATTCATTTTCTTTTCAGAAAGTGGCTATGTGCATTTGTCCACCATACAGAACAGAAGCCAAGAGACAAATTTGCACAGCAGCTTGAACCTGCATGTGCTCATTGAGGCTTATCCTAGACCTCACACACAGAGATGGACATACATGAACCCATCAAGGAGCTCCCAGAATTTCACACTCAATATGGAAATGACTTCTGGCAACAACAGGTAAGAAAGAATGTGCCTCCTCTTTCCTAAATGATTTTCCAAACTATAAATTAATTGCACGAGGGATGCACAGAACTCTTCCATTGGCCAAGCTTGCTGGTGCTGATGAGAGTTGTAGCTCTAGCATCTCGAGGACCAAAAGTTTCCCACACTTGATCTAAGGTATGATATGAGCAATGCCCTCTTTCTTGCTTCTACATAGACTATGAAATCTAACAACACCTGTCCATAGATAATGCAAAATTATCTCTGGTCTCTATTTGAGAGTCTTCCATTCTGATTGCTTCTGAAAGGACCCTACCGTGTGCATTTGTTCTTTTTTTGTGAAAGGTACAACAATACGCTCAAACTGAACAGGATGGAGGAAAAGAATGGTGGAATATACACATTTTTTGCAGATAATGGTGAAGCCAACGCATTCATCACCTTCAACATCTCAGTGAAAAGTAAGTGTTCCACCCACCACGGTTCTTCCAATGTTATGTCTATGTTGAGAAGGAACAGCAGAACATTCAGTCTCAACCAACAAGCTAAAGTGAAGGATGCAGGTGACCTTTCTGCTCTTCCTGTAAGCAAATGTGATGTTCCAAAATAGCTATAACAATAAAATACACCGAAAGGAATTGTGATTGCAGTGATACAACCACATACACTCAAAGCAGCCCCCAAGAATAGATCAAGTGATCAAGAGTGAAGTATAATTGCCAGCAGTAGCCTTTCCTAGTGGGAACTGGAATAATCCACACCAAAAGGAAAATGTTGACTGTGCTTTTGCTTGGATAAAGTGGTGACCAGCTGCAGAATAGATTGGCTCCAAAGGCCACATCTGAGACTCTGGTATAGAATCATGGAATTGTAAAGTTGGAAGGGAACCCGCATTTGTCGAACCTCCTGCAATGCAGGAATCTCAACTGAAGCATCCATGACAGATGATCATCCAACCTCTGCTTAAAAACCTTTCATGGAGGAGAGTCCACCGTCTTCTGAGAGAGTTTGTTCCGCTGTCGAACAGCTCTTACTGTCAGAAAGTTCTTCCTGACGTTTAGTCAGAATCTTGTAACTTGGATCCATTGGTTCCCATCCTTCTGGAGCAGAAGAAAACAAGCTTGCTCTATCTTCCTTGTGGTGGCCCTTTAGATATTTGAAGATGGCTATCAGATCTCTTTTCAAGTCTCCTCTCAGTCTCCTCAGTATACCAACTTCCTCAACTGTTCCTCTTAAGGCTTGTTTTCCAGACCCTTTATCATCTTGGTCTGCACATGTTCCTGCTTGTTAATATCCTTCTCAGATTGTGGTGCCAGGTTTGGTCTGGCCAAAATAAAACCTGGAGTGTATTCTAAGTACACTGCATAAGCAGGGCTGGGGTGGGATTGTAAATGTTAGAAGGTTCTATTACTTCCCTTGCTCTGGACACTATACTTCTGCTGACACAGCCTAGAATAGCAATTTTTGTTTTGTTTTGTTATTGCATCACACTGTTAACGCATGTTAAGCTTGTGGTCTACTAAGACCTCTAGATCCTTTCCCCATGTACTACTGGCAAGCCAGGTGTGTCCCCTACATTATATTTGTGCAGCTGGTTATTCTTGCCTAATTTTAAAACCTCACACATTACCCTTACATGTTACCCACTTTCCCATACGCCAAGTTTCACTAGATATTATTTCATGATGCAATTTCTCATGTTGCCTATGTTAAGCATGGGGTGGAAAATGAAGACTGCATATGCATCATACATTTAAAGCGCCCCCCTCCAAGAATCCTGGGAATGGTAGTTTAAGTAAAAAGATAAAGGACCCCTGGACGGTTAAGTCCAGTTGCATTGGACTATGGGGTGTGACACTCATCTCCACTTTCAGACTGAGGGAGCTGGCGTTTGTCCGCAGACAGCTTTTCCAGGTCATGTGTAGGTATACAAATGGCTGCTATACCTAACAGCTCTTTTACCTTTGCTATTCAGCTCCCCCTACAGCTAAACTGATGGACAACAGCTCCGGCAGCCTTTGGTGCGAAGCCAGTGGTTATCCTGCTCCACACATTGAGTGGTATAAATTGCCTCGCAATCTTCATCCAGACAGGTGAGATAAGTTATAGCATTCCCTACAGTTTCCAGAAGTAACACTACTGAGTTCACTAGGGAAGTTTTTAATCTTTGATCTTTTATTGTGTTTTTAAAAATCCTGTTGGAAGCTGCCCAGAGTGGCTGGGAAGGCTCTCCCAGATGGGTAGGGTACTGATCCTAAGGTCAAAGGCCTGGCAATCCAGTGAATCTACCTGAACACAGCTCAATCCTTCATAGAGCAGAATTTAGAAGCTGATAAATAAAGTAACAGATAAAGCAGACAAAATTCTATGAGCATATTAATATCTCCATCATCTTTGGCTGTCCGGCAGATGTGACCAAGGTGGAATGCTGCTTATGAAAGACACCAGCCCGGAGATAACGCGTGAAATTCCCTTCGGAAGAGTGATATCGAAGAGCACCCTCAAAATTGATGAGATGCTGGACAACGTGACATACTGCTGCCTAGCAGTTAATAACATGGGGAATGGATCCAGTTTCGGTCCATTGGTTCGGTACATAGGTGAGACAAATCTGAGCATCTTGTTCACTAAGAACTAGCGTTTTACCTTTCATCTCACCAAATCCTGGTTGTGGCTGCATTTACGCTAATATAAAGAGGGCTCCTATGTGATTCTGTCCCTTGAGGGTGGCCTGGCACCAGCATTGTACATTGTTTGGCCCCAGGCCTTTCCCCTCTGACAGGCATTTCAAGTTCCTCTGAAACAGATGGCTGAATTTGCTGTTTGATAATTCCACTGTTTTAATTTAATGTGCTTTGTCATTTTTTAATTGTATTCTTGTTATCTGTCCTGAGATCATCTATATTGAAGCATGGGAAAGAAATTACATAAAGAAACAAGCAAGCAAACAAATGTCAGAAATGTTGTGCAAGTGTGCGCACCTATACACCCATACACACTCATTCTGCCCGAGCTGGAGCAAGCCACAGGACTTTGGATGTGGCAGTGGTTCTGCTGCCCCTTTTTCACTCTGCTGCTCCTAGTCAGGGAGTGGGATTGCTCTGTAAATCGGCTTTGCTATCACTGGGTATCTGTGCCTTTGTTTTATATAGCAAAGCAGGGAGGAAGCCAGGTATCTCTCTTGCTCTACTGTTATGTTTGATCTGTTAGCATGGTTCTCATGAATGTTCAGGAATGACTGATGCACTACAAACTTTTATTTTCTTTCCCTCCCACAGCATCTGAACCCCTGAGCGAATTCCCCAAACCAATTCTTATTGCATGTGCTGGGACGATGTTTTTCCTGCTTCTGTGTATCATCTTCCTATTCTACAAGTATAAACAGGTCAGATGGGTGTTCGTGGTCTGTGTGGAAAGAAAAGTAGACAGGGAAGAGGTCCAGAGGTTGAAAGCAGCTTTACTACTGTAACTCTTCATGTCTAAAATGGCTCTCTCTCAAAATGCGGTACAGGAGAAGACCCTGCTGAGGGAAAGATTTTTTAAACCTTAGTGTCATAGTGGCATAAAAATAATCCAAGCTAAATTGTGAAGGGGCATATTGACCCAATTAAACCAAACTACAGCCTTCAAACCCACCCAAATTTAACAAAACCACATCCTTAATCAAACTGGGACTGTATGCCATGTGTTTGATTTTAGTATGGAGGTTTTAGTAAAATTCATGGGCCTCTTCAAACTTATAACAGTCACAACATCTATGGAGAAGGCTGCTGGGAGTTTAGAAGGCCAATCCTATGTATGTCTAGTTGACATTTAAGACCCACTAAATTCAGTGAGACTTATTTTCCAGATAATATGTTGAAGTGCTAAAATGCTATTGAACAATGCTTTTCTGATGCATGGATAATTTTTCCTTGCAGAAACCAAAGTACCAAGTCCGTTGGAAGATCATTGAGGCCTGTGAGGGAAACAATTACACTTTTATTGATCCCACCCAGCTTCCTTACAATGAGAAGTGGGAATTTCCCAGAAACAACCTGCAATTTGGTGAGGAGCAATCCTTGTACACTTGCTCTGGTAGTAGTAAGTCATTCTGTTTATCTACATTTGTGGAAGGTCCAAATTATTAAACTGATACACAGCAGTTGCATAATACTATCCTGCTTATATGAAGGACTGCACAATTTTCCCCCTCATCATAATTCTTGGGATTTTGCAGAATGAGCAAAATGGCATCCCATAGCAGCTACTGACTCAATGGAAAAGGTCTCAATGAAAAGATCAGAAAAATCAGAAGCGGAGAAATCAGGGCTACAAATAACAAAGACATGACATTGAACTGTGCAAGGCACAGAAACTGCTCCTGTTGTTGACTGCAAACCTTCTCATAGCCTGCTGTGGCTTATTGAACTTTAGGAGATATTACTTGTCTGCTCTCAAGGATATGTGCATGTGGGACAGGCAGGGACACACGCACACACAATGATCACTGAATCAGTATCAAAAATCCTCCTCTTGATTCTGTTATGCTTCTAAACACCATGTTTGCTTTCATAGGAAAGACCCTTGGAGCTGGAGCTTTTGGAAAGGTGGTTGAGGCCACTGCTTTTGGACTTGGGAAGGAAGATTCTGTCCTGAAGGTGGCTGTGAAAATGCTTAAATGTAAGTGCTGGTTAAAGCAGTTCTTCGCCAGTGCTCACTAGCTAATAATCATTCTAAAGGCCTGCAAATTGAAAACCAGCTCCAGCATTGGAATAAATTGGGGGTGATATAAGTAAGCAGCAAGAAGCAAGTCCTTCTCTATCTGTATACTTATATTTAAGTACTGAACATACTGATCCTAGGTGACTAGCTGGGATGGGGGGGTATCAATTCAATGTGCATTTATAGGTGAACTTAACCTAATACATACTTTATGAAGCAATGTGAAACACAGCCACTTTTTGAAGTGTGCACTTATCTTAATTTCGCAATGTAGTTATCCAGCCAAGTAATGTACACAAAAGTGATTATATTCTATGTATATGCATATAAATGCATATATTAATGAAAACAACATACAAAAATGCATTATATTATGGAAACCTGCCTTGCAAAAGAAGAGTATACATTAGGCAAAGTTGCTTTTGAAAAATGTGTGTACAACAGGAGAAATTTGCACAAAAACGCTGTGCATTTTCACAAGAACCTGCATAAGAGTTTGCATACAACTAGTTTCATTTCTGGTTTCAGCAACAGCACATACTGATGAGCAAGAAGCCCTCATGTCAGAACTGAAGATCATGAGCCATTTAGGTCACCATGACAACATTGTCAACCTGCTGGGAGCATGTACACATGGAGGTAAGAAGCGGTCCCTGGCGCCACTACAGTCCCCTCCATTCTCGTTCCTATGGTTTCATTCTTTTCAGCAACATTTCCCCATAATGGAAGAGTCATAGATTTTCAAGTCAGTATCACAATCATGACAAGAATAAACATTTCTGCTTTGAGAATGCTGGCTATTAAGACCTTAAGGGTTACAATACACAGTCTGTAGGAAATTAGAAGTGGCCTGAATTTACAGGAACTATATTTAGTTGGGATAGAGTGGCGGGAGGTAGACTTCATTTCACAATAGGTGTGCTATTCTCACTTTTTAATCTGCCATCATAGTGCTGCTTCAGACTACTCTCTCTTCGTCCTATTTCACCTGTTTCTGGTTTCATACCTGTCATTCCAACACCTGAGAGTGGAACTACACAGTCAGTAAAATCATGATGTGTAGTTTTTGCTATATTGTACCACTTTGGCTTGCAGGTAGAGGAACACATGCTTGAATTTTCCTGGTATAAAAGAATTTCAAAGAGATTTTTAAAGCAAAAAAACCATGCATGTCAGAGTTTTACATGAAGCTTCTCCAGGCGGCTTTCTATCTATAGGGAATCATTTTACACGAACAGAGCATTCAGTTCCCCCTTCCCTCTCTGAAATGGTGCTGTCCAGCAAGAACCATGTCATGTGATTCTACTGATTACATAACTTGCCTTTGAGAGCAAAACTACACTTTACATTCCAGTTAGGAATTACTTTCCCCTGCTTGGTTTTCTGTTGTTGTTTTTTAAGCCCAGGTCAGTCTTGATAAACCACAATCCAGTCACAATCTGACTGCAGGAAAAGCAAGAGATAGTGTTGCTTAGCCCTTTCTCTTGTGAGACCTTTCTGCTCATAATTCCTTCATCCAAGATGCTTGTCTACCTGCAGGGGAAAAAAGGCAGCTTGAATAGGTAATTTTGAGTGGTAGAGAAATCTGGAGGGAATGGGGTGATGCACATCCTGCTTTGCGTTAAAAACAATGTGGAAGCCCTGTGTGGCACTGCTACAAAAACCAACATACTTTAAACTCAAATAGTTAGTGTTGATCAGTCAGATTAAGCTGCTACCTAGCAGAAACAGAGTACAATGATGCCATTTTCTGATCAGGTTTATTTTTTTCTTTTTCAGGCCCTGTATTTGTCATCACTGAGTATTGTCCTTATGGGGACTTGCTGAATTTCCTGCGAAAGAAAGCAGAGTGTCTCATAATCCAGGATTTAACATTTGAGTCTTCTCTTGATAGCATGGCAGCAGACTATAAAAATATGTACCTTGGGAAGAAATACGTCCGGAGGTAAGAATCCAAACCAGTACAGATTCAACAGAGGGCTAAAACCCAACAGAATTAGGGCAAATTTCCAACCTAGCATACCTTTACAATACAGTCCTCATCTGAGAAGTCAATGAGAGCAAGAGTAATTTTGCTAAGCTTTCATGACTGGGATTTGTACACAAGGTAATTAGCTCATGTTTCATATAGTGTGAGAGATAGTGGCTACATGATTTGAGCACTTCATTCTAGGAACCAGACAAAATGGCCAAGGGCCTCACATGTTTCTGTCCAATGGAATGGCCTACTCTATCTTTAAAAGGGCTTTGTGGCATGAAGGAAGTTGACCAGAAGCTTTATTTACAGATGGGAAGAGCTGGTACCCACATTCTTCAGCACCTTCCATCCCACATACGACTGCTCTCCCTTCTTGAAATGCCACAACACACATTTATATTTCTTGAGATAAGCTCAAGAAATATAGTGTTTCTTGGAAAGAGACAAAGGGATTGATGCCTCGTGCCAGGATGCCTGCCAATCATTCTTATTTTTCGCTTACATTCATGGGCTTTGTCCCACCCTAAACAAATTCCTCACACACTTACATCATTTCAAATAATGACATACTTAATATTATTAGCAATGTGTTAATATGCGAGGAAGTCCCTACAGCATTTTTTAAAGGACGCTGAGAAAGCATTTGATAGAGCTGAGAAGCCCCATTTGAAGTTTTTAATAGATTTGGGGGGGCAGTTTGTTATACGACTTTAAAGTTTTAATGCTGCATCTAAAGCTAAGTTCATGATGATAGCCAGCATCAATTGGACTGGAACTTAAAATTACAGATTTGCACCTTTAGCGCTCCTCCATTATCTACATGATCTCTTATTCAGGATGCTAGATTTGATGCAGAGATTAGATTGTTAATAATTTTTTCTTTTTCTGTTTCTATTGATGCAGTGACAGTGGAATCGGTACCCAATGTTTGGACAGTTATTTGGAAATGAAACCAGTAACAGCATCAGGCTCTATGCCACCAAACGGTAAATAAGCAAGGAGTGATGCTTTCAAATATTATTTCCAGAGGAGGTAGTTCCTGCTGCTGAGGTTTTCCGTTTTTGCCAGTATTTTTATATGATGGTTTGTTTATTACATTAAAATAATAATAATAACAGAAGTGAGCTCAATGTAGCATCTCCTTTCTTTTCACAATAGCCCTTACAGGTTGGACTGAGAGATGTATAAAAATATCTGCTGACACCATCCAACATTGGCACGTTTGTGTATTATCCCTGTGTTCATTGCATCCTAAACTAGACTTTGATTGTCCACTATTACAGCTGCCTGAATGTGCATAGTTTTCAGGATCACGACCCTTACAGCAACATATTGTGCCAAAATTCAAATAAATTAGCCAGAATGTGAATTATTATGGGGAACTACATTTTTAGATATGCAGCTTTTCATTAATCACCATGAAATCCAGTAAGGGCAGATTCTAATTTTATTTATTAAATTTGTGATTCTAAATGCAGAATTTGAACACCAATTAACAGAATGATACATTGCTTTTTGTAACTGGAACTCAGCTCCCATGTACAAAGATCACATGAGCAGCATTGCTAAGCGCATCTATGTGTATTAAATAGGAATTGCAGCTCTTGCATGGAAAATAAATGCAAACAAATGCTCAGTCCATTCATATTTCCCACTTCAGTATATTCTGCAACCACAACTACATACATTATTACACAGGTTAGCATCATAAATGACATGTGCATAAATTTTGTACCGAACAAAGCAGTCCTATTAGTTGTAGCGACTGGGAACAGCTTGCACATATAATCCAATTGTATTGAACAAATAGAACTGGGCCACTAATTCTCTTCCTACTAGCAGACTTCCAGTTCAATCATAGTCAAAAGCAAGCTCATCCGAGTTCAGTGGGACTTAAATCTTAGGAAAGTGTTACAACCTTCATTGTACACTGGAAGGTTCAAATTCAAGTGATTGCTCTTTCCTTTCTCAAGATGCTTAACTGTTAACCATGGTTCAGTGTTATTGTTCCCATTTCTAGACTTCATTCATCTCCCCATATTGGAGATATGGTTCAGTTAGCTTGAACATTGACTTCATCCTGTGGTAGAGTTGCCCTTTGTTGATTACCATGAGTTTTCCCCATTCCAGGGAGGAGCTCAGTGTCAGGAGAGGACATGGACGGCCATCCTCTCGACCTGTATGACTTGCTGCATTTCTCCAACCAAGTGGCCCAAGGAATGGCTTTTCTTGCTTCAAAAAACGTGAGTGCACGCTCCCCTGAACATAGTTCTCTTTAGAAAATATTTTCAGGATCAGTTATTCAGAAACCAAGGCGTCATTTTCCATTACTATGCAGGAAACTGACTTGCATACCAAACAAAAGGCCTTGGCCCAACTTTTACTCTACATATGTGTAGCAGTTGGAACCCCACCCTGCTCTGTACATAAGTATATCCTGCATGCTACCCTTGAATAATGAACGCATAGCGCTGAAGCCTGAAAGAAACAAAAGAACACCCCAAAGACTAAGGCTTAGTTCTCAGTGAGGTGATAAGCCTGTGTCAAGGCTGTACCATTTCATACCGTTGGTAGGGGTTCATATGATTGAATGTTTCTCTATTAAAATAAATCCCATATAACGCCCACCCACTAACTAAAAAAACACCAACTTACTAGTATGGCAGGGAGAAGGCTAAGTTCCCTTTCCCCCAGCAGCTAGTTTTCTGTGTGGAAGGTTGTTGTGAACATGGAGGAACATTCAAATGTGTGAGGTAGCCTGAAGTGTTTCTTAGATTAAGAACCTGCTTTTGTACAGGAGAAATTTATTATTACAGCATCTTAAATATATTATTATTATTTTGCCTTTTTAATGAATTCCATATCAAACAAAACTTAAAACTAAAACGATGCTAACAGAAGAGGATCCCTAAAGTAAATAAGAAGTGGTACTGTTAACATAGCGAAGAATTATTCCTTAACTGACTTCCCATCCCCTTTCCATGGTTCCTCTTATCTCCTCTTTTTCTTGCATTGTCTTGGTTCACCCAATCACAACTACTTTTGTAAACTTAGGTTATTTCTTACACTGCTGGAAATCTTACCATTCTGCTAAGCCGATTGTTTGATTATAATACTTTTCCATATAGGCAATTAACAGTATCCAGTCCTCCTTAAATACTTATGGCTTTTGATAGAAAGGAATCCAGGTGTATGTGTATATCTCCCTATATGGTGAGGAACCATTTCTCTGCCCAGGGCTGATTTCTCATGGGGATCATCTGTCAGAAGGGAAAGATGCTGGCAAGTGGGGCACTCCTTCCCTTTTGATTTACCCTCCTTGCCCCTTGCATGAAATTAGGGGAGGGAATTGGTGCTTCATACCCCAATCTGTACCTGTGTATACATATGGATGCTGTACAATAACATGAACTCTATTTTTCAGCTTGTTCAGTCCCCTCTTCTCCAACCAGCAGAAGTATTACCATTTTTAAACATATTTTCCTATCTGAATGTTCACATTTGTTTAGTGGTTTGAGCCCAAAGCTATAGATTTACAAGATTTAGGGTGTTCTTTATGCCTCCCATTCCAGGAATAAGGAACTGAAAGTGACGGTTGGGGCTTCTGACCCACCATGTTATAAATATAATTAGTGAGCGCAATCTCACTGGCTGCTCATCACAGCACAGATTGTACTGTGCCGCAAACACAGGCTTCCACAAAAGGGTACCTCCCTACCTTTTAAGCTTGTACAGCAAGGAAATTGTGTAAGAGCTATAGACTCCATATGTGGCATTCTATAGGTTGAAAAGGTTTTACAACCATTACAAAATTAATGCTGTTGGAGTGTTTAACCTTGACATTACAGGAAAGGGAAACATGGGCTATAATTATCCAATTACTTGGATGCCCTGAGCACTAAGACTGTTTTAACCTAAATCAATGCAAATGATTATCAAGGCTGATTCAGGCATGACTACTTCTGTAGTGGCTTAATGAAATGGTTAGTTTTGTCATGTGCTCTATTCTTCGTGGAGGTGGCAGCACAGTCTCACAACCATCTTTTACATGCTGTGTCCAAAGTACAGTGTCTTCCTACCTGTATCACCAATGGCTGGAAGCTCATACTAACTACTGGAGTTCCATAGGGGACCAGTGGAGTGAGAATAAGAAAGCCAAAACAAATACTCTAACCCACCTGTCTCCAAGCCTTAAGATATTTTTGGCAACAGCTCCCATCAGCCCTGGCTGTTGACTGTGCTGGCTGGAGCTTATGGAAGTTGTAGATCAAAACATCTGGAGGACGTGAAAGCAACTGTAGCCTCTAGTCTCACTAATCCAGCCCGGATGTCTGCATCGTGCTGCAGGTCACCAGGAAGAACAGACACAAGCACAAATTGGGTTGAGTCCATCATGCTCAACCTGTATTTCTCTATGGCCGTATGTTGAAATAAGTCAGGAAGATCAAGAAAAACTGATAGGTCATTTCTCACCCTTGCTATCTGTTTAATATAGTGCATCCACAGAGATTTGGCAGCAAGAAATGTGCTAGTGGCTGATGGACGAGTGGCCAAGATCTGCGACTTTGGCCTGGCCAGAGACATCATGAATGATGCCAACTATGTTGTTAAAGGCAATGTAAGTAACAGGGATGGCAAATGTGCACTGGGTACACAGGAAACTGATTTACAGTCAGACCATTGATTCCTCTATTGCTGACAGTAGCTTTCTGGGGTTTTGAACACTGATCTCTTCCGCCCTCACCTGGAAACGTTGGGGTCACAAACATGGGAAATTTTTGAGTATGTGTGTGTTCTTTGTCAGCGGGACAAGTGCTGCTGCATGTAAATTCTGGCAGAGGCTACTGAGCAAAATCTGGTGGAAAGCAGTAGCAAAAGATCTGTATATCACAGGCTGTTTCCTCTGTAAATAAAATATTTTTTAATTCCAGGCTCGCCTGCCAGTGAAGTGGATGGCACCCGAGAGCATCTTTGAATGCGTCTACACAGTACAGAGCGATGTGTGGTCTTACGGCATCCTTCTCTGGGAGATATTCTCCCTAGGTAGGCAATGATGTGTTTCTCCATCCTCAGTTTTCTGTATGGAAAGGCTTTAGATCATAAATGGGGCTTGGGAGAAAGCATAATTTGAAAATTGGGTCACTACTGACTGTAGCGCTGATTCTTCAACGCCATACATTGCCATAAGAAACCTCAGGCCTTTGGAGAAAGGTCATACTAGACTACTTAAAAGTTTGACTGGCACCAGAAATTGGGGGATGACCTCAGGTACTTAACAGGGCTCAGATCCATAGACAGCCAATGCCACCATCTTGGCTTTCACTTGATGTAGGGTCTGTCCTAGTCAGAGGCACTACATGCTACAGTACTTCTGAATTTTGCAGCAGAGTACTAAAATCGCTTCAATAACCCAAAGGCCTCTAGAGTTACACACCTACTCCCCCAACTTTTCCTCCCTATTCACCAGCCATTGCTTCCTGCCAACCTAGCAGTTTGAAAGCACATCAAAGTGCAAGTAGATAAACAGATACCACTCCAGCAGGAAGGTAAACGGCGTTTCCGTGCGCTGCTCTGGTTTGCCAGAAGCGGCTTAGTCATGCTGGCCACATGACCCGGAAGCTGTACGCCGGCTTCCTTGGCCAATAAAGAGAGATGAGCGCCGCAACCCCAGAGTCGGTCACGACTGGACCTAATGGTCAGGGGTCCCTTTACCTTTACCAAAATGGCTTCGATAACCCAAAGGCCTCTAGAGTTACACACCTACTCCCCCAACTTTTCCTCCCTATTCACCAGCCATTGCTTCAGTGCTCCCACACAGTTAGGGAGTTCACGTAGCACTGCCTTCAGCCTCTTAGATACTGACCTAAGAATCAGGAGCCAGTCCTGTAGGAAAGCAACATGAGAACAGCATGGTGACCGTAGTGTGTTGTGCTTCTTCTTATCACTATAGGCAGGAGCCCTTATCCTGGCATGAAAGTGAACAGCAAGTTTTACAGCCTGGTAAAACAAGGATACCATATGGGCAGACCTGAGTTTGCACCAGAGGATATGTAAGTAAACAGATTTCAGAAATCTCCACTGTAACTGGGTGACACACACAAGCATTACAAGGAAGCGACGGAAGTTCGTTCCAGAGTGTCACTGACATTTTCTGTGATGAGCATACTGCATTTTGCTGCTGTAATTCCACCAAGGTGTTTCAGATGCATTTCACAGCTCACAAAGTTGTGTTCGGTGACAGGCCATGATTTAGGCACTTTAGTAACAAACATTCTTCTAGCCACATGAGAACTGCTTACCTGTGACTGGACTGCATGCACTGGCAGAATGTCAGAAGTTACCCAACCATGTGGGCAGGGCTCCTTCAAGCACGCCTCTTAAGGCTTAGTTTCCAGAGCCTTGATTAGGTTGGTTGCCCTTCTCTGCACACATTCCAGCTTGTCAACATCCTTCTTAAATTGTGGTGCCCAGAACTGGGCACAGTATTCCAGGTGTGGTCTGCCCAAGGCAGAATAGAGTGGTATTATTACTTCCCTTGATCTGAACAATATACGTCTGTTGTTGAATCCTAGAATAGCATTATCTTTTTTTGCTGCTACATCACACTGTTGACTCATGTTAAACTTGTGGTCCACCAAGACCCCTAGATCCTTTTCACATGTATTGCTAGTAAGACAGGTGTCCCCCATCCTATATTTGTGCATCTGGTTCTTCCTGCCTAGGTGCAGAACTTTACATTTGTCCCTATTGAAATTCATTTTGTTAGCTTGCGCCCAGTTCTCCAATCTTTTAAGGTCATTTTGAATTCTGATTCTGTCTTCTGCGGCATTAGCTACCCCATCCAGTTTGGTGTCATCTGCAGATTGGATGAGCATCTCCTCAATTCCTTTATCCAAGTCATTTATAAAGATGCTGAACAATGGACCCAGGACAGCACCTTGTGGCACCCCACTTGTCACTTTTTTTCCAGGATGACGAGGAACCATTAATGAGTACTCTTTGGGTTCAGTCAGTCAACCAGCTACAAATCCACCTAACAGTTACCTCATTCAACCCAAATTTTACTAGCTTCCTTGGAAGAATATCATGGGGGGCTTTGTTAAAAGCCTTACTGAAATCCACAGCATTTCCCTGATCCACCAAGTTTGTAATTCCACCAAAAAAAGAAATCAGATTGGTCTGGCATGACTTATTTTTGAGAAACCCATGCTGGGCCTTAGTAATCACAGCATCCTTTTCTAAACGCTCACAGACCGACAGCTGAATTATTTGTTCTCTGGTATTGATGTCCAGCTCACCGGTTGGTAGTTACCTGGGCCTTCCTTTCCCCCTTTTTTGAAGATGGGGACAACATTTGCCCGCCTCCTGTCTGTAGGGACCTCACCTGTTCTCCAAGAATTCTCAAAGATAATAGATAAAGGCTCTGAAATTACATCCGCAAGCTCCTTTAGTACCCTTGGATGCAGTTCATCAGGCCCTGGAGATCTGAAGTCATTTAAAGTACAGTGGTACCTCGGGTTACAAACGCTTCAGGTTACAGACTCCACTAACCCAGAAATAGTACCTCGGGTTAAGAACTTTGTTTCAGGATGAGAACAGAAATTGTGCAGCGGCAGCAGGAGGCCCCATTAGCTAAAGTGATGCTTCGGGTTAAGAACAGTTTCAGGTTAAGAACAGACCTCCAGAACGAATTGAGTTCTTAACCTGAAGTACCACTGTAGTTAGGTGTTTCCTTAATACCTCTTTTCCTATCTTGGGCAGCAGCTCCCTCCTTACAACATTTATTCTGTTGTCACCAGGTCGGGCATCATTATAGGATCTGCATTTAGCCCTTGGGAATGATCACAGACTTGTAATTATTTCAGTGCTTTTACACAGAATACCACAAGTTGCTGCTGAATGGGTAATATGCAGATTCCTCCCCACCTCAATCTAGGTACAACATCATGACTGCATGCTGGAACATGGAGCCCACTCAGCGGCCAACCTTCAGTCAGATTTCCACTTTCCTTCAGAAGCAACTGGATACCAGTAAGGAACAGGTGAGATGCTAAAATTACTAGTAAAAAAGCAAGGTGAAGGCAGTTCATACCTGAATGATCTCTTTCTTTAGTAACTGTGTCTTTCCTTATACTTTCACATAAATGCATTTGTATTACGTCTGGTAGAAACTGCACCCCCCTAAAAATATTCTGGGATTTCTCATACTATTTCATTATTTGCAGAACATTTGTTACCCCTCCTCCCCTTCCCCTCAAGGCATACCTGGCACTATATAAATTACACTGGCCACAGTATATAATCCAATTCCCACCCAGATTAGATTTAACCCATTGACCTAATTGGTCAGGGATAAGGATCTTGTGGTCCTCCATTAATTGCTGGACTACCACTCCCAGTATCCTTGAGCATTGGCCATATTGGAGTCCAGCAACATCTGGACAGCTGCAAGCTACCCATCTCTGATCTAGCCATTCTACACAGTCATAGAATCATAGAGTTGGGACCACATGGGTAATCTAATCCAATCCTCTGCAATGTAGGAATCTTTTGCCCAACATGGGGCTTAAACCCACAACCCCGAGATTGAAAGTCTCATGCTCTGCCGACTGAGCTATTCCAGCAGGATGTCAAGACTGGCATCAAAGAGCAGAACAGGGGTGAGGAATAGGATGCAGCCAGACGACCACATCCAGAAGAAGTGGCCCAATCCCCTCTGGAGTGACTCTGTCAGGCAGGCAGCGCCACCCATTTGTGAGTCCCTTTACATCTTATGTCAGGGGACTGAAACTTCAGGCCACTGCTGCAAAGGAAGTTTCTCCCTTTCACTTGTGGCTTGCTGGGGAGTGGGGTGGGGAAGTTTTCTGCAAGTCCAGGAAAAGTGGGCATGCCAACCTCAGAAGTCTGCCAGGTCTAATCAGGTCTGTGAGAGAGGTTCCCTAGCTCCGTAGCAGAGTTCCCACATTGCTGAACATACACTAAAATGGCACTTGTCGCTGGCAAAATCAAAAGGGGATTAATGCCGTGTTCAGGTGTTTGGAAACCATGATAATACATGAGAAGCTGTAGAAAGCAGCTGCCTCCCAGTGACCATTGCAGTCACCTTCCAAGTCATGGACGGCAACTTTGTGAAGTGGGGTGTCCTTCCTTCATGGAGGGCTTCCCACACATTTTTAAAGCCTGGTTTCCCAGATGCATGGGGCCCAGGAGGCTCCCTGCTCCACAAGGTTACCCTCCAGGAGTCTTAAGGTGACTGGAATATTGACAGGGAGGTAGAGCCTAGCACACTCACCTCCTTAGTTGTTAGCAGGCTTTCCAAATGGCTGAAGAGGGATCAAGAGGCATCAAATTGTTTAGGAGCTTCTGTTTTATTTATTTTAAATGCTGTATTTTCCTGAATGCAATTGTTAAGAAGGCTTTCTCTTCAGATTATATACTCCAAGCACTAAAGTTTGTGGGTTTTTCCCCCCCTTGCTGTGAAGGGTTACACCAACTTACCAGCCAGCACAGAAGAAGACAGCGGATGTGAGCCTTCCAGCTATTGTGAAGATGAATCTTGTGACACTGGAGAGAGCATCCAACCCCTTCTGAACAGCAACAATTACCAGTTCTGTTAAAGGGTATACAACTGCACCCTACTTCTTGGTTCGATTTCAACTGAAATGTAGTTCTCACGCAGCTATCCCTCTGGGAGCATTTCATACCAGAAAGCCAGGTGTAACTGGTGGGCACTGCACTGGCAGCAGACTTCAAGACATGAAGCATTGCCTGCCATTACACATCTCTCCCCCCCCCCCCGCTACTTGTAACTGGTTTCCAATTTTTATCGAGCTTAGCTTAGAGCATGCAGGAATCTTGGGCAGAATCATCGTATAAAGTCAGCAGATTGCCATAGCCTACTAAGCACCAGTCTTCATATAAGCGTGCTTGTAACAGTGAGAGAGTGGGGAATGTGGACTTTAAAACCAAGTTTTCTATATCTCGTGTACCTTTCACTGCTCATCCATCAGTATATGAGTTTAGAATGGACTCCTTTCCCTATCTTGACTTCTTCCTGGGAAGGAATACCACCTTGATAAGATTAGTCAAAAGGAAATGGACAGATCCTATCCAATTTGACTCTGGCTCAGGGATTTTGCAATGGTCAGGGTGGGAAAAGAATCATAACCATTCACCATCTGTGAAGTCACATCTCAAGAGGGGAAATGACCTCAGCTGGAAGAAAGGTTCTCTCTACTTCTCCACAGATAAGAGCTCCAAACAAGAAAGTAACAGCAACTCTTTCACTCACTTGGGATTACCATTGTACCATGTGCTAATCGAGCAAACAAAAATTTAAGTATTAAACTGTGATTTTTAGTAGTATAGCCAATCTATTAGCAAAGCTTTAGATTTAAAACACATTACTAATGAGTGACTTACAGTGCAGTTCTATACATGTCTATGCAGTTGTAATCAAGTTCCATGAGGCTTACTCCCAGGTAAGTCGATACAGGATTGCAACCTCTCTTGCTCAACTGGTTTAAATGACTGCTTTTTGTTTTGGAGACATCAATATGTGAAAATTTAGTGCTGTGACCCTAAACTCAATTAAGCTTTCGGTAGGGATCAGCGTGTTCAGCATGGGTGACCTTACCTACAAAGATGAGGTGGTAAATGTTATGTCATTCCCAAATATGAAGGGACTGCCACCGAGCTGTTGAGGATCTCCCTCCCCATTTATAAACCCACCAACCTAAAACATAAGCAACTGCCTGACTGGAAAGTTCTGAGAACTTGTCCACCGCCCCCCCCCCCAAAAGTCATTAACATTCCCACTACCACCTTCAGGGGCCAAGTGGTGTCACAAAAAAGGGAAGGGAGGGTATTTTGGCCAAGCCTTAGTCAATATAGTTTAATATTGGACCCAGAGATAATTGCAGCCATCATTGTAGCTGAATGTTTGATCGCTTAACCAGTTTTTATGGTTTTTAGAAACTGGTAATTTTTATTTGACAATTTTTGGTTAATGGAGAGAAAACACACAAGGCTTAATTCATTCTTACTTGGCAATTCAAATGAAACAAGAAGCCAAAAGGAGCAATAAGCTAGGGAATGTGCTACATTAGGAATAATTTGCAACAGTATTAGAAAGCAAGTTATTAAATCTGTGATAGCAAGCATTGAAATAATAGAAACAATGTGAATGGCTTGGAATGCAACAGATCAACAAGACAGGAAATGACCTAGAATAGTACCTAAAGTCCCACTGATTTTAATGTGAGAGTTAAGAAATTGTGAAATGTTCTCCTTTAGGAAAGACTGGGTTTTGTTAGCGACTGGAACGTACCAGTAGCTCATGAAGTCCCTACATTTACTACAGCAAACACAGATCACCATTGCTGGAGGCTTTGTCCTTAGGGACCAACAATACAGTGGTGCCCCGCAAGACGAATGCCTCGCAAGACGAAAAACTCGCTAGACGAAAGGGTTTTGCGTTTTTTGAGTCGTTCCGCAAGACGAATTTCCCTATGGGCTTGCTTCGCAAGACGAAACGTCCTGCGAGTTCTTGCGAGTTTGTTTCCTTTTTCTTAAAGCCGCTAAGCCGTTAATAGCCGCTAAGCTGTTAATAGCCGCTAAGCCGCTAATAGCCGTGCTTCGCAAGACGAAAAAAACCACAAGACGAAGAGACTCGCGGAACGGATTAATTTCGTCTTGCGAGGCACCACTGTATTAGTAAAATTAGAGAAATTAGGAAACAAACCATAATTAGATTTCTCCAATCTTTGCATCTAAAACTTTGTCTGAGTTTTTAACATCATATATATAAAGGGCATTGCAGCAATAGAAAGTAACATTTACTGAGGCAAACACTCAGGTCGACTGGTTGTAATCGTTTTATTTTTCTGAATTTTATCACTCTTTGGCATTGTTGCTCTGTAGTTTATAACACTGAGATTTTATTGCATTTGTGTTAATATGTAAGCTGCCCTGGGCGTTTTACACTGCAGGGTGGCATTAATGTGCTAAAATAAATTGTTGCAATGTATTAGTTTTTGGGTTACAAACGGGTAAGCAAATCTCAGGCAATTTTATATTAAGACTACTGACGTTTGATATTTTTTTCTGAAATATGAAAAAAATATTGTTAACCGGCTGCAGAATGGATGGGCAGTCTCATCTGAAGTATCTAACTCACATTCTCCAATATGTCAACTGTAGCAAATGTGAATTTGTACTGCTTGCGTACACAAATTGTCACAACTGTTTTATGTATTACTTTGTTATTTTTACATACACTGCAGTTTTAAAAACCAAAACTAGAAAGGAGCAGCTTCATAATGGTTTTCATAATATTTTGCAAGCCACTGATTTGAGTTTTATGTAAAGGTTACTAGCTTTGTTAAGCAGCTATCTTTGAAGCCTTGTGTAAATGAAAAAGGAGCATCTCTTTTACTGGATAAGAACAAGCCAGACAGTTTTCCAGCACAAACGACCACCATTCAGTTGCTGCAAGATCGCTTTAAAATAGTTAACTGCTATGTGTTGAGTTTCCAAATGAAACCATTCTTCCAAGTACATAAATCAGTGTGTTCACATTTAACTGCCATTCAAAATAAAACAATTTGATTAAGCAAAGTAATTAGAACTCTTTAGTTGTTTACTTTTTTCCTCGGTGACAATACAATCTCTTCTATAAGGGCATTTTTAAATAATGTGTAATAAATAATAATAATAATAATAATAATAATAATAATAATAATAAATGAGTTTGAGAATAGTTCTGATAGACTCCAAAAAAACCAACAACCATGCCTCAGCTAATGTACTTATGAACCATGTAAAGTACAGGTTTGTTTAAAGACAAAGCAGGCACACAAATGCCCAATTCTATGAGATTCTGCACTAATTAAGCATTACCTAAAGCTTTAGGTAACATGTCCCCTTGCCGATACCATCCAGTTAGAACTCTATTCTCTTCTCTCTGGTGTCCAGTTAAACTGTTCTCTCTTCTTATTGGACATCAGCTACAAAGAAGACTGCTCTCTCTTTCTTTTTCAAGTCTCCCAGCTACAAAATGGTAGGAGGGCTGAAGCAGACAACATGGGGGAGAGTGAAGAGAAACTTGGACTATGTCAGCACTGAAAATCTGCCCTGAAGGTGATTCAAGAAATTCCTCTGGTGCTCTGGTAGGTCTCTGAATGCCGTGTCGGAACCTCAGAGCTAGAGTTTCAGATCAGGACTGCGATGACCCAGTTTAAAAACTTCATCTCAGCCATGAAGCTCACGTGGGTGACCTTGAGCCAGCCACTCATTCATCCTAGCCTACCTCTTAAGAGTTGTTGTGAAAATAAAATGGGCATGGCAAAAGAACCATCCATGCCACCTTGAGCTGCTTGTAGGCAAGGTGGGGCATAAATGTAATAGTAGTAATTCATGTGTTTCCCCCCTGATAACCTATGCCCCACCCTCATAACTAAGTTGATAAAGGATCATTATGTAGCTTCTGCAATGTTCTACACATCTCAATACTCAGTTTCAACAGATGTTTGAAATTAATCTTAACATGATACAGACCTCACAAAACCTTTCCCTTCCACATCTTGGGTAACTATGATCTTGAACTTTGGAGCAGTATTTCAAGTCACTTTCAACAGCCTTAGGGTGCCATACAACAAATTCCACAGTAGGCCAAATAGTTTCACCCTCCAAAGACTGGAAGAGATAATTTATTAAAGTTTTCACTGACTGTAAAAGTGTCATTCATAAATTAGCATTTTTAACAGCAAATCACAAGCTTTGCTTGAAAATTCATTATGGTGGTGGTTTGTTTTACAGCACAATACACATTAGAATCCTTCATGGAAGGAAGTTTTTAAAACCACACCACAAATCTGAATAAAACAGTGGAAACTCTTCCCCTACGTTCCAGAATTTCCTGCTTTCAGCTATAGTGGAAATCTATTTTCACTTTCCAGATTTATGGATGGGCAAGAGTGAATGGGAATCAGTGGGTAATAATGCAAAGAGTTGACACACCACATTTCAACATATTACACAGGAGGAAGAATGCTGGTCTCAAGACAAAGTGTTGGAGTGAATATAACCATATTAAATTTGCCCAAGTCAGTTTTGTAAATGTTGGAAATGGAACATACATAGTGGTTTGCAAAGAGCCCAGGCAGTAAGTGTTGCACACCTTCCCTAACAGGCATCAGCTGGGGAAATAATAAAAGCATCTCTTGTTGGGCTGTGTTCACTGAATCCCACTACCAATGCACAAATACTCTTTAATAATGTTACTAGAAATAGCAACAGACAATCTTCTATCAAGTCCATGGATAGGATGTAAAGTGCCTGAAAATCCTCTCCTGATCCAGATGCTTCATCCAAAACACAGAAATCCCTGAAGAACCTTTATAATAACTATGCTAGCCAGGATAATTATAACCTACAGCAGAACAGCTCTTACCTTAATGCACGGAGCCATTAAAACTTCAGCTCACTCTGGATTTCAACCACTAAATAAACATAGAAGCTTCTCAGGTAGAGCCAGAATGAGTTGGAGGAGCAGATGTGCTCTCACCCCTTCAAACACTGACTGGTGCTGATAGCCAGTCTAAGTTCAAGTCTTTTC